CCATCCCATTATACCATCCCATCCCATTATCCCATTCCATTATCCCATCCCATCCCATTATCCCATCCCATTATCCCATTCCATTATCCCGTCCCATCCCATTATCCCATTCCATTATCCCATTCCATTATCCCATCCCATCCCATCCCATCCCATCCCATCCCATCCCATTATCCCATTCCATTCCATTATCCCATCCTATTCCATCCCATCCCATCCCATCCCATCCCATTATCCCATCCCATCATCCCATTTCATCATCCCATCCCATCCCATCATCTTGTCCCATCCCATTCCATTATCCCATCCCATTCCATCCCATTATCCCATCCCATCCCATCATCCCATCCCACCCCGTCTCATCCCATCCCATTATCCCATCCCTCCCCTCTCCACTCTGGGCATCCCAAAGGTGCTGCCTCAGCTCCTCCAAGGCTCTGTGAGAGCAGAGTTGGGGTGAAATAACCCCCAGCACTCATTTTTAACCAGAGTTGTTAAGAATTTATTCCTCCCAAGAGCCTGTTCCCAGTGGTCCTGATAGTGGCACCACTTCATTAGTGGCATTACATATTAGTTTTTGGTTTTTCTTATTTTTTTCTATTTTTACCTAGAGTTAGGATTGAAGCACAAGAGACAAATTTTTGCATTTGGATTTGGTTGTTTATTTTATTTAAAGTACGGAGAGTTTTGCAATACTTCTAGCTAACAAGCTAAAAGCAGGAAAATGGGGGTGTATCTGGTTAGTTACAAGGTCTTTTAAAGGCTAACTATTTAATTAAAAGCTAACATTTATATTATTTATACTTTTGACCTAATAACTGAGCACTTGTGATTTGCACTGAAGTACTATTTAATTTTAAAAGTACTACTTAAAACAATGAAAAAGGAACAAGAAGAAGAGATAACGCCCCAAAACTTCTATCTTGTCTTATATTTATTACTATATTTTAAAAACTTTACATTTAAAACCCTTTACCATGTGAAATGACATGCTTTTATTCAAGCTACACACCAGTGATTCTAACTCTTATCACTCAAATTTGGAAGCCTTCTCCAAGGCCTCAAGTTAAAAGCAGTGGTTTTTTTGAGGGTCAGAAAGCTCAGAAAGTTCAAAACTCCCAGGTTTCAGGGTTCCAACATGGTCCCAGCATGGCTGTGCTGAGAGCAGGGAAGTGAGGGATGCCAGGGCTGAAATTCCATCCTGCACTACTCCAGCGCTTGCTGTTACCAGTGTTGGTTCCTGCTCTCACCCACAGACACATAATACCTGAAAATAATCAGATTTATCCCCTCAGCTGAGACAAAACCCAGCACTGTATGTGTTGGGTTTGATTGCTTTCCCATCTGTCACCACATTTCCTTGTCCTCCAAGGAGACTCTGGGTGTTTTAGTCATTCTGTTTTGTTTTCCTGCTGCTCTCAGAGGCAGGCAGGGAAGAATTGGTGCCTGCAAACCTGTCTGGACACTGAGGGTGATTCTCCTGAGCCTCATCCTTCACTCCAGTGGCCTGGATGTGTGTGTTTTCCTCCCCTGCCTTTAATCCAAGGATGATCTGGCCAGAGGAGTGGGAAAGGATGGAGCAACAGCTTCTGTGTGAGCTTGTTGAGGATGAAATATGGCAGCTGCTGCCAGGCTGGAGGCACAGGCTGGCATCTCACACCCCTCAGATGTGGGATGTGCTGCTGGCTGCTTAAAATGTCATGTTTTTAGAGACTGATCTGTCCCAGAGCCTGAGCCCATGCCCTTTTAGCTGTGGATGTTGGGTCTGCAGCTCCCTCTCTCTCTCTCCCTTAATTCTGGGGGAAGAAGGGAAGCCTGAATATTTCTTGTTGGGTTGTGGTTGTTTATTTTTAAAGGAGTTGAGCAGTTATTAGTTGTTGTAAAGTTGTTTATTGTAAAGGTGTATTGCTTTTGAAAGGCAAAGAGTTACAAGTGTTAAAGTTTATGCTAAAAGTTTTTGGCAGAGAGTTTTAAATAGAAGTAAAGTTTTAATTAGAAGTTGAGGTTTTAGTAGTGTTGATGTTGTTGTGGCAGTTTTTATTTTTTTTGGGCAATGGTGGTAAGGAGAGAAGAAAAATGAGAGAGCGAGAGTAAAAGTGAAATTTTTTTAATGCATAGGTTTTTATATACAAATTACTTAATAAGCTAAAAACACAAACTCGATTTTTTTTTTAACTTACTAAAATTTTAGTCTGTCAGGTTACATATAAACCATACATATGGTCTACCTTGTTTTATCTAAAAAATGTAAGCAATATTCTTACTATAGTTTTATTATGTCTAAAGCTATGTTCTTGGAGCATTCATGGAGACTTGTTTTCTACTTTGGTATATAGGAATATGTTTTTCAGCCTTCACTGAAACTTGTTGATTTCTCACTGAGGAACTCAGGCCTTTGTTCTTCAGACTCCCAACATCTCCCCCTCCTCTTTTGAACCACATAGATTCTTTTAATAACTTTGTTAATTAACCTGAGTCCACCTTTCTTTCCCCTGCAGGTGGGAGATGTCACAAACAAGAAGCCTCAGCGCTTGGTGACCCAGTTCCACTTCACCAGCTGGCCTGACTTTGGGGTGCCCTTCACCCCCATTGGGATGCTGAAATTCCTGAAGAAGGTGAAGACCTGCAATCCCCAATATGCAGGAGCCATAGTGGTGCACTGCAGGTGAGTCCTGCTCACAGCCAACCTCTGCCTGTCCTGGGTCACCTAGAAAGCATCTCTTATTTTAAAGGAATTTATTTTTTTTTTTGCAGTCAGGACTTTTTCATGATCTTTATTCAACTTTCCTGTGCTAAATATCCTCATGGGCACATGCAAAAAATGCATGAATTGAAGGAAGTTCTTGGAATCAGTGATGTTAGGGTGTTATAACTCATCTGGAGGGGTCATTTGGATTGGCTGGATGCTGAGTGAGCCAAGCTGAGCACTGGTGGCATCTCCCTCAGCTCTCCCCTGCCCTGGCATGAGAAGATAACATCCCTCTTGGAGAGAAGGCAGTGCTGAGCTGACAGATTGCCTGGAGCAAGGGCCGTGGAGATTGGCCTCACCTGGAGGGGTTTCAGGCACAGCAGCAGCCCTGGGGGAGCCACATTGCAATAGGGAGATGAGGAATGGGTATGGCATTGATGGATCCATAACCATGGATCATGGTTGGACCAGAGATGGTCACATTTGCACCATCCCAAGTTTGTTTTTCTTGCCTTCTTGAGAAGCTGCTGATTCCAAGAGCTTTGTCTTTCTTTAGTGTCTGCTGCTCTCATGGAAGACAATCTAGTCCAACCCTCTGCCGTGGTGTCTTGGTTTGAAAGATGAGTGTCTGCTAAGAAAGGCAGGAGCCTCTTTTTGAAATGGAGAATGTAAACCCCCTCCCTCCAAATTATTGTAAATTTGAAATTAAGGGGCTCTCAGGCAAAGATATGGGAATAGGAATAACAGTTCTCTACTAGGAAAATTAAAATAGAAATCCAGTATTACAGAGAACAAACCCAGAAAAAACACTGCCAGAGTGAGAATCCAAGCTGACCCCGTCAGTCAGTCAGGGGTTGGTGCAGTCCCATTCCATGGTGGCTGCATCCTCCTGCAGTGACAGATGTGGCTCTGCTGGAGCAGGGCTCCTGGAGAAGGTGCAGTTTTCCTCCCAAGGTCCAGTGATGATGTGGAAAGGTTTGGTTTTCCTCTGGAATCCATTGGAAGAAAAGGTTGCTCTGATGTTCCAAATCTCAGTTTTTATCTAGTTAGGAAATGCTTGGCTCCTCCCCCTGGGTGGAGCATCTCCCAATGGGATGATGGAATTTTATCAGCCATGCAGTGGGACCCAATGGAATGATGTCATTTTATCAGCCATGCAGTTAATCAGTGGGACCCAATGGGATGATGGAATTTTATCAGTTAATCAGTGGGACCCAATGGGATGATGGAATTTTATCAGTTAATTAGTGCGACCCAATGGGATGATGGAATTTTATCAGCCATGCCCTGGGACTCCATGGCCCATTAACAGGAGATATCTCCTGCAGGAAGGAGATTTCTCCTGTGGAAAAGATAAAGAACACTGCCCCAGCTGTTTAACAGATGTTCCATTAGCAGAGAATATCTCCCACAGAGATCAGGATCACTGCCCCAGCTGGTTTCAGCAGATGGTGATAGAATACACACTTTTGGTCACATCCTGTATTGCAACCCAAGACACATGGCCAGGGACTTCCCCTATTCCCAGGTTGCTCCAAACCTGACCTTGAACAATTCCAGGGATCCAGGGGCAGCCACAGCTTCTCTGGGCACCCTGTGCCAGGGCCTCCCCCACCCTCCCAGGGAGGAATTCCTTCCCATTCTCCCACCCCACCCTTCCCTTGCAGTGCCGGGGTGGGACGCACGGGCACTTTCATCGTCATCGATGCCATGCTGGACATGATGCACACGGAGAGGAAGGTGGACGTTTACGGCTTCGTGAGCCGCATCCGGGCTCAGCGCTGCCAGATGGTACAGACAGATGTGAGTGTGCTGCTGCTGCTGCCCTGCCCTCTGGGCCTGCATTTCCTTCACCCAGTCAAAGGCTGTGGGAGGGTTGAGTGTCATCGCTCCTTTTGGGTGATGCTGCATCAAGCAGGGGGGGTCCTGCTCTTTCGAATCGCCTTTGTAGAATCATTGAATCATTTAGGTTGGAAAAGATCCTTAATGGTCCGTCCATTCCCCCAGCACTGCCAAGGCCACCACTGACCCATGTCCCCAAGTGCCACATCTATGTGGTTTTTAAATCTCTCCAGGGATGGGGACTCACCATGGGCAGCTGGGCTGGCCTGAACAACTCTTTCCATGAAGAAATTTATCCAATATCCCGCCTGCCCCTCCCCTGGCACAGCTTGAGGCTGTTCCCTCTCATCCTGCCCCTTGTTTCCCCCTGGCTGCCCCTTCCTGCCAGGGAATCTTGTGGAGGCAAAGGTTCCCCCTGAGCCTCCTTTTCTCCAGGCTTGGAGAACATTTTGTGTCACATCTGCTTTGTTTGGTGTGGTAAATAAAGTCTCAGTCCCCATTTAGTGGCAGGAAGGTTGTCACTCACTTTTCTGGGGTTTCAGAGGGTGGGCTGGGGGGTGGTGGGTGGGTTTACACCCAGCATGTGCTCAGTGGGCATGGAACATGGCAGGAAAAAAAGAGCAGAGGAGAAAAAGCAAAGTAACTTGCATGGCTAGAGGGGAGGTGTGGTTATGAGCAGTGAGACCAATTTGAAAAGGAGGATTTCAGAGAGACTCAGACTTCTTTTACCCCTCCAGATGCAGTATGTGTTCATATACCAAGCACTTCTGGAGCATTATCTTTATGGTGACACAGAGCTGGAGGTGACCTCATTAGAGATCCACCTCCAGAAGATCTACAACAAAGTGCCAGGGACCAGCAGCAACGGGCTGGAGGAGGAGTTCAAGGTGAGCATGGCTGCAGTGTTGTCCTGGTGGATCTTCTGGGATGGGGCAGGGATCACCGTGTGTGTGTGGCACTGGGTGGCTCTGAAACTCCCCCTCTGCTTTGCTCCTTGCCCTGCAGAAACTCACTTCAATCAAAATCCAGAATGACAAGATGAGAACGGGCAATTTGCCAGCCAACATGAAGAAGAACAGGGTGCTTCAGATAATTCCATGTAAGGCTTGTTTGGCTGGTGGGTTTGGGGACAGGAATCAGGGTGGAGAGATGGGACAAACAGGGACCTTGTGATGTTCAACAATGAAAAGGGCAAAGTCCTGCTCCTGGGGAGGGACAAGCCCAGTCTGTAATGGGGTCTCCCAGATGGGTGGAAAAGCAGCTTGGCAGGAAAGGACCTGGGGGTCCTGACAGACCCCAGCCTGAACCTGAGCCAGCAAAGTGCCCTTTGTGACAAAAGGGACAGTGGTGGCCTGGGCTGTGTGAGACAAAACAATTCCAGCAGGTCCAGGGAGGGGATCCTGCCCCTCTGCTCAGCACTGGTGAGGCCACACCTGGAGCACTGGGTCCAGTTCTGCCTCCCCAGCACAAGAGGGACATGGACAGACTGGGCAGAGCCCAGGGAGGGGACTGGAGCATCTCTGCTCTGAGGAAAGGCTGGCAGAGCTGGCACTGCTCAGCCTGGACAAGAGAAGGCTCCAGGGGTCTCATCCCTGCCCATCAGCAGCTGCAGGGAGGGTGCAGAGAGGATGGAGCCAGGCTCTTGGCAGTGGTGGCCAGGGACAGGACAAGGGGCCATGGGCACACACTGAGCACAGGAGGGTCACCATGGAACACGTTTTGGGTGTGGGGGTCACCAGGTGCTGACACAGGTTGCCCAAGGAGTTTGTGGAGTCTCCATGCCTGAAGATACTCAAACTTCATCTGGACACAGATGGGCAACCAGTCCTGTATGACCCTCTCTGCTGGTTTCTGCTGCCAAGACTTTCTGCCTCAAGGGGAAGGAAGTCCCAGTGCTGAGCAGTTCCATTTCCTGGAGAGCTCAGCATCCCCTTCTTCTGCCCCAAACCAGGGCATGTCAGAGGGTGGAGCTGACTGTCCTTGTCCCACCCAGGTGCACTGTGCTCCTTTGCCCTTATCTCTGTCTCTCACTTAGGGCTTGGTGACTCCCCAGCTAGAGGCCATGCAGGTTATCCCAAATCTCAGATAATTTTCTTCTGTTGCAGATGAGTTCAATCGAGTAATCATTCCAGTGAAGAGAGGGGAAGAGAACACAGACTATGTAAACGCTTCCTTCATTGATGTGAGTCTTCTCCAAACTCCTTTCCATCTTCTCCCAATGGAAACGATCTCATGCTGCTTCCTTTGGGAAGAATTTATCCCAAACACTCCTTTTGTGGGTTTTGTACAGCTCCCTCCACGTGACTTTGCTCTGTGTCACCAGATGGTGCTGGTTTCTTTCTCCAAGAAACCCCCAGGTATATCCAGCTCCTTGTGGGAGAGGAGAGCTGGAGCCTGAGCAGAGCCTCCAAATCCTGGCCTCACTTCTGCTCCTCTGGGCTCTGCTGATGGCTGTGGAGAAGGGATCCATGTATCCATGGAAATAACACAGCACTGGCCATTTGGTCAGAAAACATCCACCAGATTAGATTAAGGGAGCAATACACGATCCCAAAACCTTGGAGAGGAGCCAGGTCAATCCCATTACACCTGTCTGGGTGGTGGCAGGAGGCGAGGCAGGGAGGTTAAGTGCTGTCCTCACTCTGAGGAGGAGATAAGTGATTGCACATCCTTCTCTCCTGAGCAATCCTGTTGACTCCAGGGTGACATCTGGGATGAGTATTGATCTCCATGCAGTGATGCCAGTGCTGGCCAAGTGACAGACCCTGCTCTTTTCCAGCCCAATTTCTGTTTTCATCTTCTAATGACACATGGCTTTTTTTTTTTTTCTTCCCCAAAAAGGCAATCACTTGGTTTGCCCACTAAAACCAGTTTTTCCCAGTTCTAACATCCCTAATTAATGGCTCTCTGAAATCTCATTTGCTGGGTCCCTGCTGTGGCTGCAGGAGCAGCCAGGAGCAGCTGCCTTGTTGTGCATCCAGATCAGAAAGCTTCTGTGGCACGTAAGCAATTTGGGCTGAGGATTCAATTTCCTGCCTCTGCTGAACTTTGCTTAAATGACAAACTGCAAATGACGAAGGATCTGCAGTCACAGTCTGCAGGAAGGGCACAGAGGAGTCAGAGGGGTTTGGAAACACAAACTCTTTGTGGCTGGGGAAGAGCCAGAGCCATCCAACCTTCCTGCTGGTTTTCATAGATCATAGAATGGTCTGGGTTGGAAGGGACCTTAAAAATCATCTAGTTCCGTTTAGTTTTGCTTGCTTCTTCCAAAAATCCCCAATGAAAATCCTACCTGGAGTACTTGGAGCTAAGGCAAAGCTCTTCTCCAGCTCTCAGAGCTTGCAATATTGCTTAGGTGTGCTGGAAAGCCAAATGGATGAAGCCAGGTGTGTGCAGGGAGTATGATCCTCCCAAAAGTGAGCTGAGCTTGGTAGGCCAGCCATGTCCAAGAGATTCCTCCTGACCCACTGAGGCCGTTCCCACACTGCAGGGTTATCGCCAGAAGGATTCCTACATCGCCAGCCAAGGGCCCCTGCAGCACACGATAGAGGACTTCTGGAGGATGATCTGGGAGTGGAAATCCTGCTCCATAGTGATGCTGACAGAGCTGGAGGAGAGAGGCCAGGTGAGCTCCCAGGATCAGCTGCACTAAACACCAGGGAAATAAATGAATGAATGACAGGAGTTTGGAATGGGATGACCCTTAAGGTCACGTCCAACCCAAAGAGTTCTGTGATTCTGGGAGTTAGTGAAGCCTATGGGATCCCACCTGGTGTTGGGCAGCTGCCAGAAGATTCTTTTATCCAAACCCATGGGAGAAACAGGGGATCCTCACCCTGATCCCTTCTGTGATGCTCCCTCAGGAGAAGTGTGCCCAGTACTGGCCCTCTGACGGCTCCGTGTCCTATGGGGACATCACAGTAGAGCTGAAGAAGGAGGAGGAGTGTGAGAGCTACACAGTGAGGGACCTGCTGGTGACCAACACCAGGGTAAGAGCCTGCCTGCTCCCTCTGGGGACCTCTGGGTGCTCCTGGCTTTCACTGCCATGAGCCTCTGCTGGTGTTCCCTCAGCTCCATGAGCTCCCCATTGTCCCAAAGGGATTTTATCCCTGTTTCCCTGCCTCCCATCCCTGAGAGTCCCTGTCCTGCTGCTCGTTCCTTGACCATCCCCTCTATTTGCTGCCCTCACTACCAAGCCTCCCCCCTGCTCCCCATTCCCTACACTTTCCCTCCTCCATGCCCTGGCAATGTCACTCCTCCACAAGCAGCTTTAATACATGGATTGCTGTCCCAAAGCCCTGAGCCCGTGGGTTCCTTGGTGCAGATCTCTCACCGTGTGCCTGACCTCGAGCTGTGCCCTCCCAACAGGAAAACAAGAGCAGACAGATCCGACAGTTCCACTTCCACGGCTGGCCAGAAGTTGGGATCCCTGGGGATGGCAAGGGGATGATCAACATCATTGCAGCAGTGCAGAAACAGCAGCAGCAGTCTGGCAACCACCCCATCACTGTGCACTGCAGGTAAAGCCTGGCTGGAGCAGCTGGGCCACCCCTCCCAGGGCATCTGCTCCACCAGGAGCTTGGGAGGTGCTCAGAACCCCAAAACATGTCCTGGATAAACGGGGAGAGGCTGGGGCAGGACTGGCTCCTGCAGTTCTCCAGCACTTCCCACGTGGATCATCCCCTGGGCAAAGCCAACAGGGGCAGGACAGGGGTTTTCCTCACCCCCTGGTTTCTCTTTGCCAGTGCTGGAGCAGGAAGAACGGGCACCTTCTGTGCACTGAGCACTGTCCTGGAGAGGGTGAAGGCAGAGGCGATCCTCGATGTCTTTCAGACAGTCAAGAGTTTAAGACTACAGAGGCCACACATGGTGCAGACACTGGTAGGTGCCTCCTGCCCCACCAGAACCTCAGCAAGGACGGGCTGGGGGCCCAGGGTGGAGCAAAAACCTCTTTGATTCAAGGTTTTTGCACTCTATGAAAGAGGGAGTGAGGGAAGATGTGGGTTCATCATCCCTGGAAGTGTCCAAGGCCAGGTTGGACAGGGCTTGGAGCACCCTGGGCTACTGGGAGTTGTCCCTGCCCATGGAAGGAGGTTGGAGCAAGGTTATCCTTAGGGTTCCTTCCAACCCAAACCATTCTAGGATCCAGGATTCTAAGGAGGTGGACCAGGAGGTGTCTCCCCTTCCTCTTGTTAAGGCATCAAGTGCCTTTTAAGCACTGACAGAAGTCGTAGGAACCTCCTTGGAGACATCCTCAGCCACAGTCCATACCTGAATGAGCTTTAACGCCTGGAAAAGTGTCCTGGAGTGGCTGTGGAGCCCTGTAGGGTTGGAGCAGGTGGGGCTGGGTGAGGTCTTGCAAGAGGGATTTGCTCAGGGTTTTAAAAGTCTTATAGGATCCAAACAGAACTCCAGAGAGGGAAAGGGAAAGCAGAGTTTCTTTAGCCATGAGTTTGGGGGTCACAGGGAGGTAGGACCTGCTCTGCACACCTGAGCAAGCAGCAGGTGCTGTCTCAGGTGTGGATTTTCCTGGTCTGACACTGTTCTCTCCCCAATCCCACAGGAACAGTACGAATTCTGCTACAAGGTGGTGCAGGAATACATCGACGCCTTCTCAGACTACGCCAACTTCAAGTGAAGAAAAACAGGAACAAAAAATCCACACCCACCCCCCCCAAAACAAATGACAGAAGAGTTGCCTTCTTTAATATTTTGTAATATTCTGTTTGTTAATATACCCCCCCAAACAAAAAAACTATGTGTATATATCTTAACTGTTTTAGAGGTTGGTACCATAAGCTTCATATTAGCTGGAGATTTTATATGTAGCAAAGTGTTAGTGCAGATACTGTTGGCTCCTTTTTTTCCAATGTTTTATTGGGGAATTAAATAGCGTGATGTTTGGATTAATATTGTCATACCATCTCTCTTCTGGAGAGTTGATACAGGCTGTTATTTTGTTTGTAAATCTTTTTTTTTTTTTTTCTTGAGGGAGTAAAGCCTTTTTAAAAAAAAAAAAAGGAAAGAAAGATATCCTGGATCTCATCTGAAAACAAAACCCAAACTCCCCCTCCAACCCCACCAGCACAGGCTTTTCCAAACCTGCAGGGAAATGGTTTCACATTTTTCTGCTGGTCAGCTCTTAAAAAAAAATAAGGAGAAAAAAAAAAGCTCATTCTGTGTGTGTGTTTATATATGAATAACCTCATTTTTGTACCAAAAGCTAAAAACTTCCCCCTTCAAGGTGAGGCCACCATGTGCTGCTGGTTTGGAAACTAATTGCCACACAGCAGCACCCAAATGTTGGGATTTTGACCCCAAAAAAGCAAACCCCAGACAGACAAAAGGATTTTTGCTCCCTGAAGGAAAGGTTTGTGTGTTTGGAGCTGGATTTTAGAGCAGGGATTTGGGGTGGCCCTGAGCTGATCACAGTGGCCCTGCCATCCCTGCTGGTGCTCTTTGCACCAGGTGAGCTCCATCCCCAGCTGCTGGAAGAGATGTCACATTATTTTTCCTGGCATCCTGAGAGATCAGAGAATGAGGGAATGGTTTTGGGGTTGGAAGGGATCTCATGGAATGTCTAATCCCACCCCATCCATGGGCAGGGACACCTTCCACTGTCCCAGGTCACTCCAAGTCCCGTCCAACCTGGCCTTGGACACTTCCAGGGATCCAGGGGCAGCCACAGCTTCTCTGGGAGGAAGGATTTTTCCAAAGCCCCTACTCCAGACCTGCTCTCTTTCAAGAAGAATCCAAAGGGTCAAGAAATACCCTGAGGACCAGGGGTGCAGCACTTGTTTATTAGGAAAAAAAAAACAAAAACAGGTTAATATGGTTGATTTTAGTATTTTCTTTCTTACAAAGAAGTGCCTGAGTACCTTCCTTGTTTCTCCTGCAGTCAGGGGCACCATGCCCAGGTTACTGGGAGAGCTCTATCCCCACTGCAGGCACTGGGAGAACTGGTTTGGAGCAGAGGCTTCACCCCAAGGATTTCTCTGGACACTCCAAACAGTGATGGGGAGCACAGGGTGGGTGGCAGGGCCCAGGAATATTGACAGCTCTGCCCAGGGATGTCCTAGACTCAGGATATGGGGTAGGAAATTCTGGGTAAAAACAGCCCGAGTCAAGAGTATCCCATTTTTTCAACTTTTTCCATCCAGGTAGGATTTACAGGGGGGCTCAGTGGAGGCACACAGGCAAGGGGACACCCTCAGCCACCCAAAACACCCCCAAAAGGTGCTTTGCTGCTGCCATCATCCCCACTTTATCCCCTCTGGTACCCCTCATGAGCCCTAACATCACCCCATTTCTAATAAATTCCAACTCCTAAATTTTGGAGGCTTTGGGCCAAGGCTGTCAGTCACAGTCAGAAGTAAATGTGATGATTCCAAAGAAATGGGGACCCTCCTTGAACAGGAGGGCTTCACTGTCCCCACAGATGTTCCACCCAGGAACATGGACCACCCCAACAGCTCCCTCCATCCCACTGCACAGTGGGTGCTGGCTGCTCCCTGGTGCTCTTCATGAGTTTTTCCCCCTTTTTTTTCTTTCATTCCTGGGATCTCAGAGGGCTTGGGAAAATTTTGGGGTCTGTGGAGCTGCCTTGAGCTTTTGCCACAGCATCTGCCCTGCCCCATCCTGCATCCAAGTGCAAATATCAGAGAGATGAGCAGCTGCTGGAGATAATCCAGGGCCAGATCCTGCCTAAATCCCCTCCCTGAGCTCTGTCACATCCTCTGAGCTGGGAGCTTTGGGCTCCATGGCCATTGCCAGCATCCAGCCCCAGTTTGGGGGTGACACATTCGAAATGGGGAAAGAACCAGGGAAATGGGGGCTGGGGTGGGGTAGGGAAACTGAGGCACAGGGAATTTGCTCCCCTCTTTTCAACAAGAGCATCCCTGGAGCTGCAGAGGAACCATCTGGATGCATCCCTTTCCCAGGAAATGGGAAATGAGCCCGTGTTGGGGGGTCCCCAGCTGTGGGTGATGGAGCTACAATGGGGTCAGCATGGCAGAATCCCCAGAAAAGGGGAGTCAGGATGCGGTCTTGCAGTGCCAAGGGGATTTTGGGGGAAGGAGGCACTGGATACTGGCACGAGGAGGCCGATGGCATCAGCGAGGTCACGGTCCCCTGTGGGAACGGTGGCCGGGCCGACGTCATTGTCACCGAGCCCTTCAAATAGCGGCGCCTGCCCGGGCGGCCACCGCTCCAGCGCCGGCCACCGCCACCACCGGCATCTGCCCGCACAGGTGAGGCTGCCCTGGGCACGGCACGGGGTGGGCCCGGGCTGGGGGGTCCTGCTTGCCCCAAATCAGACCCCAAAGGGGCGTGGGGGGAGTGTCCGTGCGGGATCCAAACCCCAGCAGCACCCCGGGGTGCTGAGCCCCTCCGGCTTCTCCAGCCCCAAAGGGCACCCAGGGGTGCTCAACCCCTCTGGATCTGCATCGCAAACCCACCCCAAAGAGATGCTGGGTCCAGCGTCTGCATCCCTAATCAACCCCAGCACCACCCATGGGTGCTTATCCCCTCTAGGTTTGCATCCCAAACCCACCCCAAAGAGATGCTGGATCCAGCATCTGCATCCCAAACCCACCCTAGAACCATCCATGGGTGCTCATCCCCTCTGGATCTGCATCCCAAACCCACCCCAAAGAGATGCTGGGTCCAGCGTCTGCATCCCAAACCCACCCCAGCACCACCCAAGGGTGCTCATCCTCTCTGGATCTCCATCCCCTTACTCAACCCCTGGGGTTCTGCTGGCCCCAAACCACCCCAGGCAGCACCCAGGGATGCTCAGCCCTCCCTCAGCCCCCCGGGGGTGTCCCTGGAGCGGATGGCGGTGGGACAGGGCCAGCTGTGTCCCCGCAGCCCCTCGGCCATGGCACCCCGCGGGTCGCTGCTGCTGCTGCTGGCTCTGCTGCTGCTGAGCTGCTCCCTGCCCCGTGGCCACGGCCAGCACTGGTCCCATGGCTGGTACCCGGGGGGCAAACGGGACCTCCGGACCCCCACAAACCTCCAGGTAGGGTCACCCCCCTCCAGGTCATTCCCTTCCCTCCCGGGGTGAATCCCCACCGCCCCAGAGGGTGATGCCCAGCCCGGCTGTGTCCCCCTGCCCCAGGGTTTGTGTCCCTCCCCCCGGGGGTAAAACCTGCTGCTCCTGGGGTTTTAATCCCTCTGGGTTATCCCCACCGAGTTACCCTGTCCCAAATTATCCTCCCTGGATTATACCCGCTCGCAATTATCTCCCCGCCGAGTTCTTGGATTTATCCCCGCCTCAGATTAAACCCCATTCCGGTTTTATGACCCCCACGGGCTATAATCCCCCCAAATTATTCCCCTCCCCGAATTATCCGGATTTATCACCCCCACGGGCTATAATCCCCCCAAATTATTCCCCTCCCCGAATTATCCGGATTTATCACCCCCACGGGCTATAATCCTCCCGGGTTATCCCCCTCCCCGAATTATCTCCCGCGCAGATTATCCCCTTTTTCCCTGGTTATCTTCCCCACAGATTCACCTTCCTCCCCGAAATCCCCGCAGTTTTTCCACCCTGGAATTCCCCCCACTGGCGGGGTGATCCCCCCATCCCGGGTGTTTTACCCCCACGTGTGTCCCCCTTTTTCCCACTCCCGCAGATCCCGTCCCCTCTCGGGCGCTGCCGTCCCCTCCCGTGTCCCCTCCGGCGGGAGGAGCCGCTGCCGGTGAGCGGGATCGGGGCTGGGGGGTCCAGGGGGGGTCCCCGGGACCGGCACTGATCGATCCCCCCCGTCCCTCTCCCGCAGCGACCCGCGCTGCGCCCCTGACCGGACCCAGCGAGCCCGGCGGGACCGAACCGGGACCGAACCGGGACCTCTCCGCGGGGAATAAAGGGGCTGGGGGGGATCTGTGAGCAGTGATGGTGATGGGGGGGCTCGCCTGGGGGGTGATGAGGGTGGCATGTGTGCCATGGGGACAGTGGTGTCCCGTGGGGACAGTGGTGTCCCTTGGGGATAACGGTGTCCATGAGGGATGCAATCCCGTGCGGGGAATTCGTGTGATGGTGGGGGGGATGATCTATCCCGTGGGGGCTGTGTTCCGTGGGTGGGATTCCTGTCCCGAGGGGGGCTCTGTCCCTTGGGGAGTGTCTGAGAAGGGGAGGTTGTGTCTCCTGTGGGTACCGTGTCCTGCTCCTTGGGACAGCGCTCGGGAATTCGTGTCCCGCGGAGTGCGGGTGTGCGATGCGAAGGGGCTGTGTTGTGTCTTTTGGGGTGCCGTGTCTCGTGGGCGGCTGTTCCCTGGGGGATTCCTTTTCCTTAGGGGTCCGCGTCCATGTCCGGCAGGGGTGTCCCTGTGTCCCTGTCCCGTGGGGGGGGTCAGTTTCACAAGCGAGTGTCTCTGCCCCACAGGTGTCCCTGTCCCGTGTAGAGTGTCCGGTGTCCCACGGCTGTCCCTGTCCGTGTAGAGTGTCCGGTGTCCCACGGCTGTCCCTGCCCGTGTAGAGTGCCCGGTGTCCCATGGCTGTCCCTGTCCCGTGTAGGGTGCCCGTGTCCCGTGGGGGTGTCCCTGCCCCATAGATGTCCATGTCCCACGGCTGTCCCTGTCCCCCTCCCCGACTCCATTTCCCATCAGGCCCCGCTCCCTCCTCCCTTCCCGTGACGCCGCGCGCGCGGGCCCGCTCTCTGACGTCACTCCCCGCGCCGTGACGTCACTGCCGCGCCGCCATGCTGCCGGCGCTGAGGCGCTGCCGCCCGGGGCCCGTCCCGCTGCCGGTCCTGGCGGCCGCGCTGGGGCCCGGCCCTTTCCCGGGGCTCTGTCCCGGCTGGTCCCCGCGGGCGGTGCCGGCGCGGGGCCGCAAGACCCGCAGCGATCCCCCCGCCAAGTCCAAGGCGGGCCGGGTGAAGCTGCCGCCGCCCGTGGACCCCGAGGAGCTGCTGGTGGTGCAGGAGCGGTACCGGCAGTACCGGCTGGTGCTCAGCGCCCTCCGGTACCGGCACGGGCTGGGGATGGCTTGTGGGGCAGGGTTGGGCTGTGGCGATGGAGTGTTTGGGAGCTGGAGCTATGGGGCTGCTGTGGGGCCGGAGAAGGGCGGGTATGGGCTGGTCTGGGACTGGTTCTGAGGTGAAGAGGAGGATTGGGGGTGGTTGTGGGTTTGGGTAAGGGACTGGCTGTGGGGCAGGGGAGGGTTGAAGGGCTGGGTACAGCGCAGGGGGCTGGGTGTGGGGTTTCTGGGGGCTGACTGGACTGGGTACAGGGTTGGCTGGAGGTTTGGGGTCTGGGTGTAGGGTTGTGAGGCTGCTGTGGGGCAGGGGAAGGTTGGGGTTGGCTGTGGCTCTGGGTACGGAGTTGGAGGCTGGGTAAGGTGCTGGGGGCTGGTATGGAACAAGAGAGGCTTGGTGGCTGAGTGTGAGACTGTCTGTGGGGTGGGAGGCTGGATATGGGGCTGTGAGGCAGGGAAGCGGCCATTTGGGGACCTTTGTAACAGGAGCAGGTAGATCCTGGGATACTGGGGTTTAGGAAGGGGTGGTGGGACTGCAGTGCTGTGAGAAGGGGTGGTGGGTCTGATACTGATGTGTGGCAGAGGAGGGTCAGGGTGGTGGGATGGGTGGGCAGGGTGGTGGGGCCGGCTCTGCTATGGGGCAGTCTGGGGAGAACCCGCTGTGCTGACAGCCCCGGGCAGGAGCTGAGTGCCCTCCCCTCCTCCTGACAGGGCGGAGTTCAGGGCCGAGGTGCTGCAGAAGAAGCGGGAGGAGCGCCTGGCTGCCGAGGGCTCGCTGGAGGAGCAGGAGGAGCACCGGCGCCTGATGGCCTGGAATGATGAGGAGAACGCCCGGCAGCGGGCACGCAGGTCAGCACGGCCCCTGCAGGCCCGGGGAACCCTGCCCTGCCTGGCTCTGACCTCTGCTCAGGCTCCCTTAGAGTCTGGACTGATATTTACAGAGAAGTTTGGGCAGGGTCACTCTGAGCTGAATTAGGAACTGGTTGATGGTGGGGAATGGTCACATCAGTCACCAGTGGTGTCCCCAGGGATCAGGGCTGGGCCCAGTCCTGTTAAATGTCTTTGTTGGTGATCTGGATGAGGGGATTGAGTTCACCATCAGCAAATTTGCAGGTGACACCAAGCTGGGTGTGAGTGGGTGTGCTGTAGAGGATAGAGACCTGAACAGGCTGCATCCAGGGGCTGAATCCAAGGATATGAGGTTTAACAAGAGCAAGTGTGGGGTCCTGCACTTTGGCCACAACAATCCCTGCAGCACTGCAGGCTGGGGACAGAGTGGCTGGACAGCAGCCAGGCAGAAAGGGACCTGGGGACACTGATGGACAGCAGGCTGGACATGAGCCAACAGTGTGCCCTGGTGGCCAAGAAGGCCAATGGCTCCTGGCCTGGATCAGGAATTGTGTGGCCAGCAGGAGCAGGGCAGTGATTCTTCCCCTGTGCTCAGCACTGGTGAGGCAGCACCTCGAGTGCTGTGTCCAGTTCTGGCCCCCAATTTAGGAAGGACGTTGAGATCCTGGAGTTTGTCCAGGGAAAGGCAGCAAAGCTGGGGAAGGGCCTGGAACACAAGTCCTGGTAGGAGCAGCTGGGAGGACTCAGCCTGGGCAAAAGGAGGGTAAAGGGAGACTTTGTCACTCTCCACAACTCCCTGACAGGAGGGTGCAGCCAGGATGGGTCAGGATCTGCTCCCTGGCAGCCTGGGAGCAGAGGACAAGAGGGCACAGCCTTTTCCACCCTAATTGATTCTGTGATTCTGGGAAATCCTGACCTTTTCAAATAAATCTGCCTGTGCAGCTGTCATGGTTCCCGTGCCTTTTGCTGCTGAGGACCAAGTCAAGGTGTTCTGGGCAGCTTCCTGCTCTCCTGGGGATGGAAGTGTCACCTCATGCATCAGATTTTCCTTTCTGTCTGGCAGAGAGGAGCGGCTCAGGAAACAAGAGGAGGAGGAGAAGAGGAGGAAGTTAGAGATTGCAGAGAAACAGGCCAGGAAAATGGAGGCTTTCGTGGAGGAGAAGGAGAAGGAAGTTCTCCAGCTGCAGGTAAGAGCAGCTGGTGCCTCCTGGGGAATCAGGCTGCCAGAATTCCCTGCCAGGGAGCCATGTGGAAGCCGTGGGCTTGTTTTCCACAGATTTTTCAGTCAGCAGCTGGGAACACAGGCGTTGGCACCTTCCAGGGGTGTTGACAGTGCGTGGATGGGAGAGAGCTTGAGCCAGAGCTCTAGGAACAGGGTGGGATAATCCTGAGGGGGATAATCCTTTTCCTTTGGTTCAGGAGGAAGCCAAAAACTTCATCACCCTTGAGAACCTGGAGGCACGGATCGAGGAGTGCCTGGACAACCCACAGAACTACAACTTTGCCATCGACAAGGACGGGCGGATCGTGAAGCGCACGATGCTGTCATAGCAGCCCTGGCATGGGGCTCCAGAGCCCCACACACAGCACAGATCCTTCCTCTGAGTGGGTAAATTGACCACAGAAGTGGTGGAGAAAGGCCACAGGTGTGGCTCTGCTGTTTCCAAAGGGTTAATGTCTGTGGGAAAGGGGGTGAGGGGGAACTCGGAGGCTCCAGCAGTCTGGCTCAGCCCTGTTGCTGTGCCTGTGATCTCACCTCCCACCTGTTTGGATCCCTCCTGCCTTCTCACACAGCACGTGGGGAGGAGCAGGAGCAGTCCTGAGGCAGAGCCTGGCTCTGAGCTCCTCACTGTCAGCTCCTCTGGGTGCTTCCAAAGGCAAACAAGAGCTGAATGAATTTGTAGGAAACACTGACCTTCCCTTTTTTTGTTGTTGGGGTAAGGAATTAATTATAATCCTGATTTCACATTTTAAACCCTCCTTTGCACATCTCTTGGTGTGGCTGAATAATAAAATGTGTCTGAATGATCCAGAATTTCTGGTGTCTCCTTATTCCTCCCTTCAGCCTTAATTTATTCATCACCTGAAACTGATGGTGTAGATAAAATTGTAATGACTTTGGGTGTTCTGGGTTGTTGGGATCATGTAGACTGTCAGCTTCATCCTAAAACTTCTGGTTTTGGGCTGCCCAGCTTTGAGCCTGGAGTTTGCTGTGGTTCAGCCGTGGTCTGCAGGTCCCTCTCCCTCCCTCCCTCCCTCCCTCCCTCCAATAATTGACCTGAAATCCTCACTTTTTACCTTTTTTACCTTCACTTTTCCCTGAAAGTGTCTTTTTCTTTTGTCCCAAGCCTGCACCTCAACCAGGTGAGCACACAAAACCCACAGACTTCTGTCTGGATTGTTTTTCTGTCCAAGTTTTATTTCTAATTAAGCTCATCACTTCAGTGTGAGTCACAGCCCGAGGTGGGGCTGGGACAGTGATGGATGCGGGATCCTGCGGATTCTCTCCCGGGTGGGCTACACAAACAGCATCTCCTGGTCACAGGATGAGTCAGTGCTGCAGCCCTCTGAGGGGAGAGAGGGGGGAGTGTGGTGTGAAACCAGACAGCACCGACCAGACCCCAGGGACCCCCCAAAACGGGCCCCGGATATCCCTGAAACAGCCCCCAGGGACTCCCCAAATCAACTCCCAGTGATCTCTGAACCATCCCACAGAGATCTCCCAAAATGGGCCCCAGAGATCCCCGAAACAGCCCACAGGGACTCCCTAAAACAGCCCCCAGCAATCCCTGGAACAGCCCACAAGGACTCCCCGGATCAGCTCCCAGAGATCTATGAAACAGCCCCCAGAGATCCCCAAAACATTGAGACCCTCTGAAACAGCCCCCAGGGACCCCTAAAAACAGCCCCCAGAAATCCCCAAAGCACCCAGAGACCCCCTGAAGCAGCCCTCAGTTACCCCCAGAAAACAGCCCCCATAGATCCCTGAAACAGCCTCCAGAAATCCCCCAAAACAGCCCCCAGAAATCTCCGGAACACCCAGAGACCCCCCAAAACAGCCCCCAGGGACCCCCGGGCACTGGGGTTTAATGAGCTCGTGCTCACTCCGTTCTCCCGGGATTTATAGAAGAATCTCTGGTAGTTTAATTTAGGGAGGAGGGTGGGATTTTGAGAAAAACTAATAGGAGAAGGAGGGGACGTGGGTCCTGCACGTGCTCAGCCCCCAAAATTTGTTCGCTGTCTGCTTCCCTCCTACCCTAAACCCTCCGGATCTCATCCCTTCCCTGGGGTGTGGATGGATGGATGGATGGATGGATGGATACACGGATGGGACAAAGACAATCCCTTGGCCATCCTCCCCTCTCCCACTGTCCTATAGAATTCCCTCCCGGCTGTGCGAGGGCTCCGTGCAGCCATCCCGGGATCCCGTGCCGTCCTCACCGGTGCTGCAGCAGATGCCGGGAGCGGCGCAGCTCCCTCCGGAGCCGCAGGGTTTGTGTCCCGACTCGCAGGGGGTGGGTAGGAAATTTTCCTCCTGGCACCGCAGCGTTTCCGAGGTGCCGATGTAGCATCCCAGCTCCTCCCCGCAGCAGATGTTGGGTCCGAAGCAGTGACCCTTGTTCCGGGGGCCGCAGGGCAGGCACTGCTCGGGGAACAGGGGAAGGAGGTTGGGAGAAGGGAAGGATGGGGGTTTGGAGCACCCTGAGCCCTCCCGGACCTACCTTCCTGATATCCATGTCCAGCACTGCGCGTTTGCCCCCGATGGGGCAGTTCTGGATGTAGCAAGCAGAGGAGAGAGTCAGGAGCCCCAGGAGGCAGAGAGCCAGAGCCTTGCAGGACATAGCGGCAGGACAAGGCGGATTTTTGGCTGCCCATCCCAACCACTGGCCCTGTATTTATAGTCCTGGCTCCTACTTAGAGATTCTGGCACCAGCGTCACCCGTGTTCCTTAAAAACCACAAGGCATTGCTTCCCACAGCAGAGGGCTCGGCTAATAGGCAGAGGTCGAGGACGTGAGGTCAAGGACAAGGTGTTGGTTTTCTCCTCTGTGATGAGTCCAGCAGCAGCAGGAACGTGTGGAGGTTGTGGATGGAGCTGGATAAATGTGTGGAGGTTGTGGATGGGGCTGGGTGGATGTGTGGAGGTTGTGGATGGGGCTGGGTGGATGTGTGGAGGTTGTGGATGGGGCTGGGTGAATGTGTGGAGGTTGTGGATGGGGCTGGGTGGATGTGTGGAGGTTGTGGATGGAGCTGGGTGAACGTGTGGAGGTTGTGGATGGAGTCTGGGGTTTGGGGTCCCTCTCCACTCACCACTTAGGGCTGCTGAGCCGTGGTGTGTCCCGTTGGGAGCCCCTCTGGCATGGAGAGGGTAGGGATGAAGGAAGGCAGCTGCAGGTGGGATGTGTCCACCCAGGAGCAGGGTGAGAGGGGCACGTGCTTCCTTTGGCTTCAAGTCCTTTTGGGTGGGAGAAGCAATCCCATATCCTCTGGGATCATCCATGGGATCTGGGGTGGGGAATGTTCTTGTGGGTCCTGCCCAGCCACCCGTGCCTGGCCTTTGGAGGATGCTCAGCACTGAGCTCACCCCACTCAGGGACAGCAGTGACACCCAACCCATCCCCACTCACGTTCATCCAACATCTCCACAGCCACACGAGAACACCAAACCTCCTGGGCAAAGGCCTGAAATCCCAAATTTCCTCACTGCTTCTCCTTGGAGCTGTACACAGGGGTTGGATGTGGTGTCCTGAGCCACAGCAGCAGCACACAAAGCTCCCCCTCCTCCCCGAGAAGCAGCGCTGAGGATGAGGCCGAAGGCTGATGCAACCGCCCTGGGTCCTGCTCACCCCGGCCCCTTGCCTTCCTTATCCCAATTAGGAGCTTCCCAGCTTGAATAAATTTCCCTGCTGAGGACAAAACTTGACGTCCACTGAGATCATTACCCTGCACTGGCTTAATTGGGAATTAGGCAGCCCAGAGCCGGACAGTCATGACCTTTTCCTGTCCCTCTGGCTTGATTCAAAATCCGCCACTTAGCGCAGCCATCACGAGGGCAGCCAGGTCCCTGTCACTCAGCCGGGGTCAGTCCCAGTCCCTGGGGACAAGGCAGGCACTGGGATCCATGGTAATGGGTTGGAAATGGGGCTCAGCACCCGCTGTGTGCTGTCCCAGCAGCTCAGCTCCAACTGCAGCACAGCGTGGAGGGAGGGAATTGTCATCCCAGAGACCCTACGGCTGCTCCAGGGGGGCCCAGACCCCTGCAGGATGTGTCTCAGGTAGAAAAGTGAGGAAAAAAAATCCAGGTATCAACCCCTGATGCTTTTGGGGGACTCCTTTTTTGCCTGATTTTGAGGTGTCCATCAGATGGAGCATTCCCAGCTCAGCCACACATTCCGGGAGCTGCAGGAATGTTGGGGGTTCACATCCTGCATCTTGGAAAAGTCAGAGTGCTAGAGCTGGGCTGAGAGCCCAATTCCCTCATCCCAGCTTGGAGTCCCCCATCCATGCTGGTGTCACCCCTCTCCCAATGATTTTGGGGTGATTTGGGGCTGTCCCTCTCTCCAGGGCTGGGATGGGATGCTGGCTGTGGGAAGCAGGTCCTGGATCAATCCTGCATGCCCCTGAGAGGGCAGGATGGATCCCTCGGGTGTCAGGGAGCTCCACCTCCCCGGAGGTGCCACCTCCCTCAGGGACACTATAAAGGACGAGCTGTCCCCTGTGCCGTGGCCAGTGCCAGCCCGGAGAGACCTCGGAGCAAGGACCCCGCAGGGTAAGAGAGCCGGGAGAGGGTCGGGATAATGGGACCCCAAATTTTGGGGTGTGACCGTGGGATAACGGGGTCTGATCCTCCCTGTCAGTGTCCAGAGGGGATGGGCAAGGATGAGAACAGCCCTGGAGGGGATCTTTGGAGCTGGAAGCCCAAACCTCTCTGCTCTTGAGGGATTTGGGGTACTTTTCCTTACTTTCTATCATTTTTAGTAGATGCTGTGCTGATTCCTGATGGCACCAAGGCCCCGAATCCGCCCCAAAGAGGGGCTCGGCCACGAGGTAACACAAGGGTGACACATCCCAGCTGTCCCCAGGCTCCTGGGGCTGGGGGTGCTGGCTGGGACTCGATGGCCAGACCCCAAATTCCAGCTCTGCCTGAGCTCCTTCCCTTGGCAGCTACAAGGACGGGGCCAAATCCTGCACCCAGCCCAGCCAACCCATGTGCACTCTGCAGGGATTTGGGGACAGAAGAGCCTCCAACACCCCCATCCCGAGCCCCAGGCAGATCCCCTGGAGCCCCCATGAGCCATCCCCAGTGCCCAGGACGAGGCCACCACAGTGCACGAGGATTTTATTGGGTCTCGTATGTACAGAGCCGAGGTGGGGGGGTCGCTCAGGGTTTTGGGGGACTCCCAACGCCCTGGCTCAGAGCAGGGGGTGCCTGCCCTGCTGCTGCTGCTGCCGGTTTGCCAAGTGCATGAGCTTGAGGAGCAGATCTCCGGCCGAGCCATCCATCACCGTCAGGTTCTTCTCGTCCGCCGCATCCTGAGCGCCGTCGCTGCCCTCGTCCAAGCAGCCGCTGTCCATGGAGCACGTCTCTGCAGCAGGAGGCAAAACGTGGCGATGGAACAGGTTATTTGGGATCACCAGGGGGTTCTTTTGGGCTGGGGAAGGGGTTGGTGGCAGCCAGGGGGGCCCGCACAGCTCCAGCTATAGTTTTGTCTCTCCCGTTAATCACGGAGCGAGGCTGGATTTTCTGGCATATCAGGGAGGCGGTGCTGGCCAGGAAAAAGCTCACGGTGGGTCAGGAAGGAGCTCCGAGCCCAATCCTTTCGAATCAGAATGGTTTGGGTCGGAAGGGACATTAAAAACTAAAAGACCCTTCAAAGACCCTTCTTATCCCGCCCCTGCCATGGTCAGGGACATCTCCCACTATTCCAGGTTGCTCCAAGCCCTGTCCAACTTGGGACACTTCCAGGGATCCAGGGGCAGCTACAGCTTCTCTGAGCACCCTGTGCCAGGGCCTCCCCCCCCTTTACAGGAAAGAATTCCTTCCTTACTCTGAACCAACCATCCCCAAATGATCTCTGAACGGCGCCAACACCGCTTTCACTCCATACCTCAATTTCCCCTCCCTAAGAATAAACCCCACCACCAGATAATCTCTAGTTGGAGACTTCTCCCCATGGCCATTCCCCCCACCCTCCCCACCGTCCCCATCCCGCGCTGTCGGTGTCCCGGTTACCGGCGGTGCAGCAGATGCCGGGCGCGGCGCAGCGGCCCCCGGAGCCGCAGGGCTGCTCGCCAGCCTGGCAGGGCGAGGGCAGGAAATCTTCCTCTGCACAGCGCCGGGTCTCCGCCGTGCCCAGGTAGCAGCCCAGCTCCGCCCCGCAGCAGATGCCGGGCCCGAAGCAGTTGCCTCTGTTGCCGGGGCCGCAGGGCATGCACTGCGGGAAGGAGCTGCCTCAGTGCCCGCACCCCAAAAAATTCTTATTTGTATTAGAAACCCCCTATGCCAATGCACAGGCAACAGGACTCTGCCCTGCACCCCCATGCCACAGCCCAGCCCCTGGGTTTTGGGGTGTTTTTGTGCACCCGGGGTTCTCTCCCAGTCCCAACCCCATCACTCCCCTCCAGCATCCCCTCCCAGAGCTGCGTCAGTCAAACCAGCATCCCATAAAAGAGCATCTCCCCCTAAACCAGCATCCCACAAAGGAGCATCTCCCCCTCAACCAGCATCCCACAAAACAGTATTTCTCCATAAACCAGCATCCCATAAAGGAGCATCCCCCCCTAAACCAGCATCCCACAAAACAGTATCTCTCCCTAAACCAGCATCCCACAAAGGAGCATCTCTCCCTAAACCAGGATCCCACAACGCAGCATCCCTCCCCAAACCAAATCTTTCTGTGATTTCTAGAAAGCATCTCCCCACCAGCCCCTCTTGGAGGTGCCACGCTGCCACCAGCGCTGGTGGCTGTGACCTTGTGTCCCCGCTCTGGGGTGTCCCCATGACCTCCCTGTCCCCTCTCCATGTGCTGTCCTGTCCTGCTCCCCCGCTGTGGCCAAGCTTGAGCCTCTTCTCGAGGTGCCAGCAGCACTTCGGCGTGGTCACTTATCCACCACTGCCCCGTGGCGTGTCCCTCAGCCATCCCAAAAATCCCCACTGCTGCCGGGAGCGTGGCACAGCCAGGGGTACCTGCAGGTGACAGGGAGCTCCTGCACCCCACGGAGCCCCTCTGTCCCCCCTGGAGCTCCATCCCGTGCCCCAATCTCCCATCCCGGCCCGTACCTGTCGCAGAGCTGTGTCTGCCAGAGCTCGCTTGCCGCCCCGGGGGCAGTTCTGGATGTAGCAGGCGGAGGACAAGGCGAGGAGGCAGAGGAAGGAGAGGGGCAGCGAAGGCTCTGCCATGGTGCAGGGTGCCCGTGCCGGGGGAAGCTGCTCCAGCTGCGTCTGGCCCCGTGCTGAGAGAGCTGCTATTTATGCTGCCATCACCCCTTCCCAGGGGAGGAGGAGGAGGAAGGAGAGGGATGGGTTGAGTTGTTTTTTTTTTTGTTGTTTTTAATTTCCTTTTTTTTTTTTTTTTTTTTTTTTTTTTTTTTTTTTTTTTTTTTTCCCCAAATCGCATCCAAGCAAATCTGTAATTGAGATGATTCAGTGCAGCAGCACTCAGGGCTGGTGAAACCCACCCTTGGCTGCTCCGAGGGGCACGGGCCAGCCCTGGGATGTTCTTGGGAAGGGGCACTGGATGGGCTGGGGGGTGGATTCAGGGAGAGGAGCTCCTTCAGGTGGTGCCAGTTTGGGGAGGGTTGTGGGTTTGGAAGATGCTGTCCGGGGAAGGATGCGGGTTTGGGGGCAGATGTTCATTCGGGAGATGTGGTTTTGGGAAGGATGCAGATTTTGGCAGAGGTGCTGGTTTGGGAGGTGATGCTGGTTTGGGATGGATGTGGATTTTGGGAGATTTGCTTTGGAGTTTGGGATGGATGTGGATTTTGGGAGAGATGCTGTTTTGAGGGGGTGATGCTGGTTTAGAAAGATGCAGATTTTGAGAGAGATGCTGGTCTGCAGGGATGCTGCTCTGGGAGCAATGCTTATTTTTGGGAGGGATAAGGGTTTGCGAGGTGCTGCTTTAGAGAGGGCTGTTTATTTGGAGGATTCTGATTTGGGATTGATGCTGGTTTAGGGAGGGATGCTGATTTGGGGAAGGATGCTGATTTGGGAAGGGATGCTGCTTTGTGGGGTGCTGGTTTGACTGATGCAGCTCTGGGAGGGGATGCTGGAGAGGAGTGATGGGGTTGGGACTGGGACAAAACCCCGGGTGCACAAAAACACCCCAAAACCCAGGGGCTGGACTGCAGCATTGGGGTGCAGGGCAGAGCCCTGTCCTCAAAGTGATCTATGGGTGCCACCCACGGCTCTCCTGCCTCTTCCCCCTCTTCTCCAAGAAACCAGAAGGCAGGGAAACCAGCAGGAGAGGGGGAGACCAACAGAAAAGGCACCTTTGGGGCTGGCACCAGCACACTCGTGTCACCCATGGGCTGTCAAAAACATCTGTACAGGAAAAAGACCATCAACAACCCCCTGCCCCATCCAGCCAGGAATATTCCTGTTGTTCCCAGATCCCTTTTCCAGCTGCACCGAGGCCAGCCTCAGCAATGTGAAATGAATATGCAGAGAGGAATCTGGTGCCTGTGACTACCCATCCTCTCTTTCACCCCCCAAAAAAATGCTGGGACTGGCTCAAAGTGATCAGGAGGGGTTTTTTGGGGGGCTGGGAAGGGGCTGGACAATGTGGGGGTGCTGCCAGCTGTGTTCCTGCTTCTGGAGTGGTTTTATCCTTTGCTCATCTTCACATAAGGTGGGGAATTGAGGGAGAGAACCATAAAAATCAGCCTGGACATCACTTGGGGTGGCTGAACATGTTTTTCCCCTGTCCCTCATTAGTTTCCCTCATTTTCTTCTCCTCGTTAACTTTTCTCATCACTTTTCTGCTGGACAAACACCCCAGCCCCAGTTAGAGTGAGGGGAATGGTGGTACCCTGGTGGGGAGGGGGCTGCTCTGCTCCAGCATCCCAAAGGAAACGGTGATCCCACTGCAATCCTCCCTGGAAAACCTTTGTGTTTGTTTCAAAGTGCTTTGAAAAGCTCCACAGGAAGCAGGGAACAAAGCTGGAGGGGGCTGAACCCCAGAGCATCGCTTTGCCCCCCCAAGGGAAACTGAGGCACGCAGGGAAGCATTTAATGCATCAGTGCTGGGGGTCCCAGCCTGCTCCCAGCTCCTGCCGTGCGATTTTGGAGCATGGATCGACCCGGGGGGTGACAGCCCTGGGCTTTGGGGCTTCTGATGGGTGACATGAGGGCGATTTCCTCCCCTCAAGGTGGGTGAAGCCCCTGAGTCAGCCCTCCCTGGGATCGAGGGAGCGGCGAGTTCCCAAATCTGCCCCGTGACGCTGAATCACCCACGTGGGGCAGCCGTGGGGGATTTAATGACCAACATCATTAGCACCAGCCTCGTTTCCCCATCCAAACCCATCCCTTCACAGCGGGAGCCCAAACCCACTTACGTTGCAGGGCCGAGGAGGACGCAAAAGCCCTCGGCTGGGAAAACTTTTCTTTAAAAGAACCCCAAATGTCAGCTCTAAATTGGGTGTTAGGCGCTCGTGCTCCGTCTCTTCATTACTGTATCGTAAAATTACATTAGCTGGGAACGATCTGCATTCAAATGACTCTGTGTCTGGAATGATAACGCAGGAATATGAGATTAAAATGTAATTATGCTCTTTAAAGTCAAGGAAGGTTAATAAAATGTTTTTCCAAGTTGCAGAGGCTCCGCAGCCGCAACGCAGAATCACTTACGGGAATCAAAGGGAGGATGAGGTGGGAACGGGGAGGGGAAAATGGGTAGAAAACACACAAAGGGGGTTTTGGGGAGGGAAATATCGGGGTCACCTGGGGTGAGCCATGGGACAAGTGATCCCAGGGGGATGGGTTTCCCAGGGGTGGGCAGAGCCAGCCCCGCTGGGCTGTGATGGTCTCTGGTAGCCGGGGCACTGCTGAGCCCCCATCCCACACCCCACTCCCAGCTGAGGCCTTGGGGGTACTCAGAGTCCTACCCCAAATCCTCCAACAACAGCCCCAAGGTCCCTTCTTGGTGTCTCCAGCTCTGCCACGTCCCTGCTCTTCCCAGGCTCTTCCCCAGAGGATGTCCCTTCCTTAGCACTGATCTCCTAACAACGCTCACAGGGTGTGGCCGGTGCCAGGGCGTTCATCCCTATCCCAGCTCCCCTCGGGAATGAAGGGAATCCCAAAAGCCTGACCTGAGCTGGGAATGGGACAGCACCCACAAATCTGTCCCCTTGCTCAGCCCCAGATCTTGTAGACACCAGCAAAAGGGCTGGGGCTGCCCGAGGGGCTCTGCCACGGAGATCATGGAATATTTGAGGCTGGAAAAGCTCTCCAAGATCATTGAGTCCAACCATTCCTCTAGCACTGCCAAAGCCACCAATAATCCATGTTCCCAGGTGTCCCATCCACATGGCTTTTAAATCCCTCCAGGGATGGGGACTCCTGCACTGCCCTGGGCAGCTGGGCCAGTGCCTGGCCATCCTTTCCATTAATAAATCTTCCCTAATATCCAATCTGAATCTTCCCCTTCCTTCATTAACAGCAGGAGCTTCGTTAGCTCCGGAGCCCCCAGCGAGGTTTGTGAGAGCCCTTTGGGAGGCAGGAGAAGGGATGGAGGTGCTGGAGCTTGGCTGCAGCACACACAGCTCCCAGGGCCAAAGTTGAACCAGGATAAATGAGAGTGACAACATTCAATCAGCATAAATCAGAGGATGTTGGAAAATGGGATGAATTTCACTGATTTGTGCATTTCCTGCCTTTGCTGTGGCTACAGGAGGATGCAGCAGGGAAGGAGAAATTCTTGAAGATGTCCCATGGAGAGGGCAAGGGAGAGCTCCCTGCTCCTGCCTGGGAGCTCTAATGCTCCTCCAATGGATCTGTCACTGTCACCATGGCCCCGTGGCTGAGGGGTGGTGGGGAGGGGGATCCTGTGGGACACACATTGAGAAAGTAAGAAAATTACAGCCTGAAAAATATTCCAGGCTGGAGCTTTTCAGCTCTGTTCCCAGTCCATAAGCTGGTCCAGCTCAAGGCTAGGGAGAATTTCTCTCAGGGTAATCATTTGGTCAAAATAAAAAGGAATTAATAACAAGATAGAACACCTGGTGTGGTGTGTGCCCAGGCCCTGGCAATGGGGTGTCTTCTCTCTGAACCAATCACCTTTTCTCTACTCTTGGAGTTGCAGTCATGCTATAAAACCAAGTGTGTTCCTGAATAAACTTGTCTCTTTCCTGTCATGAAAGATGACCATGTAGCTGTGCATTTTATTCCCGCTGCACTTAAAGGGTTAAAACCCCTTTCCATGGCTACAGGATCCTGCACCTCCTCCCCTCACATCACAGATAAAGATGCTCCTGTGCTTCCCTGACAGCTGGAAAACAACTTTGATGCCTCTTTAAAGGCAGCAGAGCCAACGTCGAGATCGGCTGGGACACTGCTTTGATCATTTCCATGGCCAATCCATCCTGCTGGGATGTGGATGTCACACTGGGAGGTCACTGACCAACAAGGGATGGATTTATCCAAAAAATGCTTGAAGGACAGCATTAGAGGAAATTGCTCAGGCTGCAATCAATTGCATTCCCCAGCCCCCAGGGAGAAGACAGGCTTGGATCTGGGAATAAACGTGCTGGTGGCATCCACGTGGGAGGGATTGCTGTGGGTCCAGGCAGAGGAAGCCCTGGAAATTCCTGGCTCTGTGTCACCCACCACCTTGGGGTGCAGAGAGGGTCCCTGCTGCCCACAAGGGTTCCAGGATCAGGGGTCTCACACCCAGCTGGGGCAGGTGGTTCTTCCCTGAGCTCCAAGATGTGGGTGCAGAGGGAAACTCATCCCTGGATCCCCTGCAAGAGGGGACACAGTGGGTGAAATGTGCTGCCAAGGGTCCCAGAGGGTTAAGGAGGAGAAATTGGGGAATGAAAGCTCTGAGAACCTGTTGGGAGGTGGAGATGAGCCCTGCTCTGATGTCCCAACACCACCCCTTCCTTCCAACCCCTGCTCCCTGTGGCTCCTGCCCCTCCCTGCAGAACGAGGGGAACCTGGAGATAATTTGGGAGATGTGTCCCACCCGGATCACTGCCCACTGGCAGGACACCACACTGGAAAAGCTTGTCAGAAGTGGTGGCTTTGGAAGCACCCAAGCTTTGCTAGCTCTGGGGATCCAGAGGCAGCCATCCATCCTCCCCCCTTCCCTCGGGGAGGTGTGAGAGCTGAATCACTGCAAACACGACACCACCACTGCAATGGAGTGGATTTACTGCCTCTGAATCGTGGGGTTTTTAGGAATTTTGTGCCTGTTTTCT